AGACCGTTAGTCTCCTGTTGTTGACCATTCTCTTCATAATTTTACATAGGCAGTTCATTAATGCTATTGGCCTGTAGCTTTCAGGGTCTGTGGTTTCCAGGTTTTGGAATAGAGATGATTAATGACTGTCTCCACATATCAGGGAAATTAACACTTCTCCATATGTTGTTATACAAATTTAATAACAGTTGTAATGATTTGTTGGGCAACTGTTTTATGAATTGATAGTGGATATCATCTGGTCTCACACCTGTATTGTGAACTTTCTTCAATGATTTATTTAGTTTCTCTAAAGTGAATGGTGTGTCATAGCTCTCAGTGTTATTTGAATTAAAGTTTAATTTTCGTTTTTTTTTCTCCTTTTTTATTTTTCGCTTTTTGTTTGAGCTTCAAAAATTCTTGGCAGATGATTTTTCAGAGATTGTTTTGGCTAATTGATCAACGATATCCTTTTTGCTGGTTATTTTGCAGTTATTTATCGGGAGATGTTTTTATAGCGTTAGAACGAGGTTTGCCAGCTATTTTTCCTTATCATATCCCATAAAGATTTTGTTTTTGTGGCACAATCATGATGACGTAATTTTTCCAACATTATTTTTTACATTATTTTGCACGAAGTTGCTTAAATTGAAAAGAAAAAAATTAGAGGTTGAAGGCTTTTTTGTTGGAATCTCTCAAAGTTCTTCCGATCCCGATAGCTTGCATACACACATCATTAAACCAAAGTCTATTACGTTTTTTGTACTGAACTTTTTGGAATGCATTGCTATAGAGATTTCCGGAAACTGTTCGAAGTCCTTGATGCATTTACCTTTAAGGAGTTTATCAGATCATTGCTTTTTAAATTCATCCCAGTTCGTTGCGCCTAATTTCCAACAGAGGATTTTTATCATTGTGTTCTAAATTTTGCAGAACAATTGGCAAGTGATCAGTACCGTACGTGTCTGCAAGAACCTTCCAAGAGAAATCTATATAGATTGATGGATCATATATGGATAAATCTATTGTAGTGTAGCTGCCAGTAAATGAATTTATGGCGGTCAGAGTTTTATCGTAAATCCATAAATCATTGTTTATATTTGTTTCTAAAGACCTTCCATTTTGGTTTGTGTCTTTACTGCCCCCCCCTAGTGCTGTAACAGTTAAGGTCCTCTAGTATCTTAAAGGTTGCAGGGAGTTGCCTTATAATTTCATGAATTTTGAGTTGTCAAATTTATTTTACTTTGGGGTAAATCATTCCTAACTAAGATAGCTGTATCGCCAAATGCCCGAGGCCCGTTTTCATGTGGCATGGTTGTATTGCTGGTATTCTTTTATATTCATTTTGTCAAACTTGCTTAAGGAATGTTTCCTGAACAACTACCAGTGACTGGTATGTTATTAACAAGCGGTTCATTTATATTTGACTTTATTCGACGGCAGTTCCATTGAATTGTCTTATGCGTGGCTGTTGAAACGTTTTCGGCTTTTAGCTTATGTGGTTTTGATTTTTTTTTCCCTAGATTTTCATTTTGGAGGTTTTAAACGTTTGACGGTTCTGGCTTTCCACTTTTATCTTTTCTAGTTCGTCAAATCTGTTTTGCAAAGGAATTTGGATTTGTGTTGTGGATTTTCGGCTTTTGTTTGGCTGATTCTACTCTTCTGGGAAATAAACGTTCCAGTCTGTCTTTCCTGGGTTTTGGTGGACGGATAGGAGATCGCAGCAACCTTTTAGCAGATTTGGCATATTTCAGTTTTTTTTTCATTGTCCTTTTGCGGTTCAGCCTGCACCATTTCTATGGAATATAAACAATTTTTTTCTTTTTTGCTATCCTCTGCCAGCCACAATGATAGAGAAAGCATTACCTCGGATCATCGCCAGTGAGACACGCTGCAAGAGCCACTCCACCTCAATCGAGACGCAATCGCGCCAATCCTCTGACGGAACACCATCGAACGAGGGCCAATAACCCCAGAAGTCTCCACTGCCACAAGAGTACAAAAAAAAAATCTATCAGCAAAAGAAGAATATTTTTAACTATTTTTTATTTTAATTCTGCGTCCCGGGCGACTGGCCCTGGCTCAACCGCGGAACTGATCAAATTACCGGCCGAAAATGTATCCGCACAAGTCGCATCCCAAATCAACGACTTCCCCATTTTCCCCAGGGAAAATGGTAATGCCATCCAGCCGCTTTCCATCACCACGGTCGAGGCCTACGGTTTCGATTTGGGAAGGGAACTCAGTTGCATCCAAACCTCTTCTGATGTTTATTGCTGCATGCCGTGGAAAGCGGCCGTCACTACGACGACAGGAGAGAGGATCCAAACCAAACTCATCAAAGGAAGCTCCACATCTGCATCTGTGACGCTCATATAATTTGAGTCAAAGACAGATTGCGACTCCGATCCGAGTGCATTCATCGAAAAGGGTACCGGTAGATGAAGAGGTCACTGCGTTCAGTCAGGCGCCACTACTCTTAAATTAGGTACCTCCATGAAATCGCTAAAAAAAGAGCATAGCTTGATGAAAAAGACGCCAACCTTTCCGAAAACTAAATTTTATTGTCTAAATGCTTATGTTATTATTAAGAGGAAAGACCAAAGTTTGTTTTTTTTAATTATTTTTAAAAAATTTTCCTTCTTTTTAGAACATTCTAAATTTTGATTAAAAAACCTTTTTTCTATTTGTATCAGCGGAACTAGTAAATAACAGACAATTTTTAGCACGTTTTTTTGGTATGACACACATTAATTTGAAAAATCGTGCAAAAATAGAAATAATTATCGGATGTTAATGAAACTTTCAGGAACTATTCACAGATGATCGAAATTATTATAAATATTTTTTTTTTTATGAAAGTCATTGTAGAAATATTTTTAAAAAATATTTATTACCCCCCATAACTAATTTTATGAAAACGCTAGAAATTGATCGCATCGGTTTTAGTGATTACAATAATAAAAAAGCACAGGGCTTTGAGGAATGCAAATCATGTTTTTTTTTTTTTTTTTTTATTTGATCCGTAGTACCTGAAAATCAGCTCTGAATTGTAACATACAAAACTCAATAAAACAAAGATATTATTTAATTTCAAATGCTTTTATTTGCTTTTAGTTGTTTTTATGAATATGGACAATATTTTCTGAAAGCAAAAAAATTTTTTCGATGAAAAATGAATTTTTAATACAATTATTTGTTATTTCATTAATTATAATAGATTTTACATTTAAGTTGTTAAAATATTATAAAATTAGTTAGATCTTTTTTTAGCGCGTTGTAAATTGTATCATTTTGACTAATCAGAAGATCCCCAGTAATTAAGAAATGTAATTTTGTGCTTATAATCGAGCTGTAATTATAAAATACGGAAGACCAACCAGAATACAATTAAGTTGCGTTATTTGAGTTAAGTATTGTTCTCCGCTGTTAAGGCCTTTACTTTTGCGAAACACGTGTGGAGAAGTTAATTTGATTTTTCAATTTCAACTGAGAAGGGTACCTACAAGTATCAGTATCATCTTATGAAATTTATATGATCTTATTTTTATATTAATCTCAGTTACGACATTTGTCCATAAATGAAATATCAAAATTAATAATAAAATGAATGCAAATACAAATAACAGTAGAATGTAATAAATGTACATAAAATTATAGTATTTTATGTACAATTCTGATAAAATTTCATAAGAAAGGTACCTATAAATTAATTAGATACCTTTCTTAAGAAATATGAAATTTAATGTCACTCTTAACAGTTTTATTTTTATTTCTTTACAATATATTTCCCATAAATCATCATAAACGTAAAGGTGAAAGCTAAGTACAAAAACAAAATTAGACCGCTGAAAGTTTTTGTTAAAAATATCGGGGTAAATAATTTGTTCACGTAAATGTAAATTATTTCACTTTTCTCCTTCCGTAGAACAAATTAGCCTCATGGAATTCGTAAATATATCATTCATCACATGTCAAGAGACGCGAAAGTTTATGACCTGCTTTGTTTTATTTTCAAATTACATCTTTTGGCACAAAAAGCTAAGTTAAGTTTGGTTCAAAATATTTTAAATAAACATTATAATTTCTGATTTTCTTAAAATAAGTTTTGAAAAATGATAATTGATATTTAAAAAAATTTCAAAGTCAGATTTCCAGTTTTTTTTTAAAATGGAAAAAAATGGTCAATTTTGCTGACTCAAAAAAACTAGATTTTAACGAAAATTTCGGACGTGCTAGGAACGATTAAAAATGGAAAAAATACCCCAAAATACTTTGACCTTTCCTCTTAATAATAACAAACATTTAGACGATAAAATTTTGTTTTCGTCAAGTTTGGCGTCTTTTTCATCATGCTATGCTCTTTTTTTTTAGCGATCTCGTGGAGGTACCTATCTTAAATTTAAGCTTGAAATTTGAACCAATCATTTGGTGCCAAGTGTATGAGCTTTTCAGTGAGGGCTGTGTATTTGTCAGGCTGACAGCCATTATTTGTAATCTTATTTTCCGTTATTTTTACGTAGGAAAGGTCTTCCATGTAACCTTCTACTTGCCATGCTTCTAAAAAATGTTTTTTTTTTTAATATTTTACTTCGATAATTCCGCTTTCCTTTTTCCAGAAATCGCATATTCCTGACAGCAGTTTGCAAATCAGCAGTTACTGAGACGGTCAGGCAGGGAATATAAGATAAGAGTTCCCCATCTCCAAGCCGATGGAATACATTGCCGATTAAGTGAGATATCGTATTGTTTGCTATTTCCAAAACTGTTTTGGAAATCATGGTATATATACAGCCAACCTTGTGTCATCACAGCTTGTGGAGATGCATCGTTATATCTGGCTTCGTCAGTGTAAGCTAGATAACGAGTTATCTACTGTGTACTGGCGATATTAATAGTTACCAAAATCTACTATAAATGAACTTTTTCCCCGTTTTAATTATGTTCTATACGCATAAGACTTAATTTGACACAAGGCCACAAGTATGGAACAGCCAATGTGAAGATGGGATTGCTATTATTCACAATAAATAAAAATTAATCCCCTCATTACTTTCGGCTTCTTCACAACATTTCAGTTTGGTTAGTTTCCCTTTACCGGAGACAGTGAATGGAATCCTATTACTAGCAAACACCTGAAGAAATCCCGTAGATAGAGCGGTTGAAGCAAAAAAAAAAAAAAAAAAAAAAAGACAAATAGAGATAGATAGAGAGAGAGATAGATAGATAGATAGATAGATAGAGAGGAGAGACAGACAAACAAAAGAGAGACAGAGAGACAAAAAGAGAGAGAGAGACAGACAAATAGAAAAAAAGAGAGAGAGAGACAGACAAATAAAAAAGAGAGAGAGACAAAAAAGAGAGAGACAGACAATAAAAAGAGAGAGACAGACAAATAAAAAGAGAGAGACAGACAAAAAAAAGAGAGAGAGACAAAGAAAGAGAGACAGACAAAAAAGAGAGAGAGACAGACAAATAAAAAGAGAGAGAGACAGACAAATAAAAAGAGAGAGAGACAGACAAATAAAAAGAGAGAGAGAGAGAGAGAAACAAAAAAGAGAGAGAGAGACAAACAAATAAAAAAAGAGAGAGAGAGAGACAAAGAGAGACAAACAAAAAAAAGAGAGAGAGAGACAGACAAAAGAAAAGAGAGAGAGACAAATAAAAAGAGAGAGAGACAGACAAATAAAAAGAGAGAGAGACAGACAAATAAAAAGAGAGAGAGACAGACAAATAAAAAGAGAGAGAGACAGACAAATAAAAAGAGAGAGAGACAGACAAATAAAAAGAGAGAGAGAGACAGACAAAGAAAAGACAAAAAAAAGAGAGAGACAGACAAAATAAAAAAAAGAGAGAGAGAAAAAAAAAAAAGAGAGAGAGAGACAGACAAAAAAAAAAAGAGAGAGACAGACAAAAAAAAAGAGAGAGAGAAAAAAAAAAAAGAGAGAGAGACAAATAAAAAAGAGAGAGAGACAGACAAAAAAAAAAAAAGAGAGAGAAAAGAGAGAGAGACAAAAAAAAAAAGAGAGAGAGAGACAAAAAAAAAAAGACAAAAAAAAAAAGAGAGAGAAAATAAGAGAAAGAGACAAAATAAGAGAGAAGACAAAAAAGAGAGAGAGAGACAAAAAAAAAAAGAGAGAGAGAGAGACAAAAAAAAAAAAGACAAAAAGAGAGAGAGACAAAAATAAGAGAGACAAAGACAAAGAGAAAAAAAAAGAGAGAGACAAAATAAGAGAGAGAGACAAAATAAAAGAGAGAAAAAGAGAGAGAGACAAAATAAAAGAGAGAGACAAAACAAGAGAGAGAGAGAAACAAAAAGAGAGAGAGAAAAAGAGAGACAAACAAAATAAGAGAGAGACAAAAAAAAAAAGACAAAATAAGAGAGAGAGACAAAAAAAAAAATAAACAAAGAGAGAGACAAAAATAAGAGAGAGAGACAAAAATAAGAGAGAGAGACAAAAATAAGAGAGAGAGACAAAAATAAGAGAGAGAGACAAAAATAAATAGAGAGAGACAAAAATAAATAAGAGAGACAAAAATAAATAAGAGAGACAAAAATAAAAAAGAGACAAAAATAAATAAGAGAGACAAAAATAAATAAGAGAGACAAAAACAAAAATAAAAAAAGAGAGAGAAAAAAAAAAAAGAGAGAGAAAAATAAATAAATAAGAGACAAAAAATAAATAAGAGAGAGAAACAAAAATAAAGAAAGAGAGAGAGAAAATAAGAGAGAGAAAAAAAATAAAAAGAGAGAGACAAAAATAAATAAAAGAGAGAGAGAGAGAGAAAAATAAAAGAGAGAGACAAAATAAAAATAAAGAGAGAGAGAGACAAAAATAAAGAGAGAGACAAAAATAAAGAGAGAGACAAAAATAAAGAGAGAGACAAAAATAAAGAGAGAGACAAAAATAAAGAGAGAGACAAAAATAAAGAGAGAGACAAAAATAAAAAAGAGAGAGACAAAAATAAAAAAGAGAGAGAGAAAAATAAAAAAAAGAGAGAGAGAGAGACAATAACACAATGTATAAATATACAATATATTTTGAAAATTTAAAAAAAGTTAATTTGCATAAAATCATTACATCGTTTGGGCATAAAAGTCTGACACGGAAAGTCCACAACTACAGAATTTTTAAACTTCTCACCCTGTCAAGCTCTATGGAACCGTTTTCCGGATTTTCGAATGGTGCTTCGAGAATCGGCACAATCTTCTTCCAGGTTAGGTAATATCCTAAAATATTGTTTTCAAGAGATAAGTGTAGTGGTGATTGCCATGTGACAAAGATGCTTGAAGAATTTTCCGAAACGGACACCACTCGGAACTTAATATTCTGAGGAGCTTCTGGTCCTTAAAGAAAGAAAAAAAGTGACCATCAGTATCGAATAATATTAACAATAACAGTTAATGGTAAGTAATATTAGCAGTTTCCTTATAAGGAAACATTCAGCATTCATTGCTGCCTTTCGGTTGAAATTTATAAAATCTTAAAACAATTTTCAGGAAAATAGTACAGCACTTTCACTTGTGATTCTGTTGCGCCAATCCACGAGATTTGAAGAAGGGTGGTACTCTCTAAGGCTTCATTCATACGAAGCCATTTTAGTAAAATTACAGATTAAATCTGGTGTAAATATGCATGCTTATTTCAAAAATAAGCAAAGTTTGCGAAAGAAAACGCTTTGGGAGTTATCGACAATAGAAGTTCGGCCTTATTCGCGTCTAATTCGGCCGCTATTACTGGCTTCGTTTACATGCGTTTGCCTCGACAAGTAAATGCGCGGAAGCTTACTTAGTTTACGGCCTTTTTACTGGTCTTCTTACTCAATCAAAGGAAGCTTTCCGCAAACTTTTGTTATTTTCGAAATTTAATTTTTTTTTTGGGGGGGGGTAACTTTCAAGAAATAAAAATACAATATACGTTATTCTGCTTTCACAATTGAATACATGGTAGACGATACTCAGCTTTTGTATCTAGACTTGTTTCTGTGGACATCATTACTGGGAGGCGTTGATGGCTGTTTTAGGTTGTTTTATTGAAGCTATATTCTGGAAAACAGTTTGATTTAAGGAATTGTACCGTGGATAATCGCGGGGGGGGTGGCAGAGTTCTAATTCCAGGCGAATCTATTATATTCACTTACGTGCTAATACCCTTGGGAAAGGTATGAATCCTCTTCTTCAGCTATGGGTAAATAGCAGGACAGACCGGGGTTCTATACCTTTGGATGGCAACTGATCTACCGTAGAAAGAAATGGCAACCTACTGCGGGAAAAAAATCTGCCTCGTCAGTCATGTATCGAAAGTTACATAATCGCCTAAGCGTGTATCACGCATGGCACATAACTGACTAACTGAAGATGTTATATGGATGAATGTCATGAAAGAGTTCTTTCATGTTGGTTGTTTCATCGTATTTTTAAACGGATTTGGATGAAGTCGCTACAATTTATTAAATATGTACGTATTGTTGCTAATTTCTAAAAACTAACCGAATAAAAAGCGTCTTGCTACGTGTCTTTTTTTGGGGGGGCGGTAAGAAAATGATTTAAAATCATTGTTATAATTTGTGGAGAAAAAAAATGACCTCCATCTTGCTTTCTCGTATATTTTGGTAGGAGTCATTACCGTGTTCAAATTTAAATTGAAGAGAAAAAGTTTCAGTGTGAGTGGGGTGAATGTAAAAACTGCTTGATCTGACTCCTTTTATATGTATTTGATGCAATACTTGAATGAATTGATGAGCAGATTTCAACATTGATATGATAGTTGAATTGTCACAACAAATATATATTATAAAGGCACTACCCACTTAGTGTTGATTTCTTGCTCAACTTGATGTTCATATTGTCTCATTCTGATCTTTTCGATGTGACCTCCATCTTCTGACTTTCTCCTATATTTTGGATAAGAGCCATTCCCTTGTTCAAATTTAATCAAAAGGGAAAAAAAGTTCAGTTGGGAGTTTGTGTCCCCTCTACCAAGACCCCCTTTGATCAAAATGAAATTTACTTATTAAAGTACCCTGGGTATTGTAGTTTCAGAAATATATATATATATATATATATATTATAGTTAGGGGGTGCTATCTCTAAAACCCTATGAGGAATTCGATGACAGACAGCGGATACAACTTTATACATATAGATGCATTGATTTTTTTTTTTTTTACTATAAAAGTGTATTTTTATACTTTCATAGTTTTTTTTTTCGGTAGGTGATCCACTGGTTACCCATAGCTGGGACCCTAAGAGGTGCTACCACACAAGGTCAACGTGAACCTCGGAACATAAATTAAGTGGTTCCACATTTAACATTTCAGAAAAATTTAATCTGATTTAGAATTATGCATGATATCCATATGACAGTTGATCTAACTTGGCTATTTAAAAATAACTTTTTTTTAGGTTAATGTTTTCGTCTTGTAACAACTTGTGGTATTGAGTGAAACTATCCCTCGCACAGCCTCGTCTGTGTTCAATTTCCTTATCTCCTATACTAAATTTAGGATAGCAGTCAAAGAGAGATACTAGCAGTCTGTAAATAACACTTGCCTTACTTAAAGAAGGAATACAACCGAATATCTGGTACATCCTTTAATCCGGACAAAATTACGAGGAGACATTTAAATACAACATCTAAATTTCCCCTCCATCTCACAACTGCGGTTGTTGATGACATTCAAAGCAGAATAGTGCAATGGCTTGCCGGTTCTTTTTTCGGGCCGGGTCGGGAGTGTTGAGATTACTCCTCCCTCTTCTCAGAAGTTCCTCTGCCCTCTGGTAAAGCCTTTGGCCTCAGAGACGCAGCTCCTAACCCCAGGCTAGCAACTGGCCGTACAATCCCGCATCCCAATTCACCTGATTAACTCGGGGTCGACCGCTTCACTGCAAAAAGGTACTACCACTCAGGATACATCCATTTTATAAATACATGATTTCTATTGACTTTTATTAAAAAAAAAAAAAAATTCCCCAATTATGAATTCAGGGGGGGGGTTAGTTTATTACTGAATAACAATAGAAAACTGATCCCCTTGTTTATGTCCATTGAAATTTAGCCGTTCACTCATATTCTTACCCCCACCCCACCCCACCCCCTAAAATAACGTAGACTATTTGCTATTACTAAATTTTTCTTAGGAGTCTTTAAAAGATATATATATATATTTTTTCAATTACTATTCTAGTCCTACGCTCTTTCAAAAGAGTCAGTCTTTTCACCTCCGGGTAACAAACATCTTTTAACAGCCCGCCATTGTTATGGTGGAGACTTTGCCATCTGGTATTGCCAGTGCAGAGAAGATACAAATATTATATTCAGTTATTTGGGGAAATGTGCCGAGCTGAAAACGTTTCAACACGCCATATAAAAGTAGATGGCCTTCCCATATTATCTCCAAGGATACGTCACTACAAATAGGACTTAACCCCTACCCTCATCTGTAAGCTTAGTTTAGAAATTAGGAATTATAATAGATTAATAAAAGCGATAAAACAAATGGGACAATTAAAAAGAAATACTGTAATAAAAGTACTGAGACTGATAGATTTCTAACCGTAGCTCAAGTGCTCTTAACCAGGGGAGAAAATTCAGATTTTCAAGCGGGGAGGTGAAAATCTTACTTTTTCACATGTTTCTCATTGACTTGTTATAAGAAAATCGATTTATATACCCGGCCTTTTATTGAACTTTTCGTTTATTAAAATATGCTTCAGTTTATTTAACAATTAGTTATGCATTAAAAAAAAAAAAAAAAAAAAAAATTTCTATTGCTACTATCAAAATCACTGTACTAATATAGAAAAGATTTTTAATAATACCAGGTCTGATCAAAAAGTATCGGGACTGATGTTATAAAAAGAAAACTACAAGACCTATCAATTTGGTATTTAATCACCTTCGAAGTAATTCACCTTCTGAAGCCTAATTTCCATTGATGGAAGCATTTCTGGGATTCCTTTTTGGTGAAATATTGAGCAGCTTCCTTGTCTTGAAGTCGTCTACTCCTTTCAAGGGGAGAAAGTTGTATTTGACCAAAATATTGCACAAGTCATAGTCACTGTGATGAGATGAGACGACTACGTTCGACACTTTCCTCCCAAGCTAGTACGATAAACAACGGAAGCAAACGAAAACGCTATAACTTAGTGCGCATGCGCGACAGTTCAAGGTCAAGCTACTTCACTGCGTACTTTAGCACCGTTCCGACACTTTTTGATCATATCCCGTATATGTATATTATTTGGTTTGTACAGTCTTGGGAGGGGAATGACATCGACATATGGTGAAAAGGGGGCGCATAAGAAAGATCAAGAACCACAAGAGCTTAGCATGTGCTTTTATTTATTTGTTGGAGAACTTCAACGTTTTTGCTAAAAAAAAAAAAAAAAAAAAAATTCCAACATTACCAGCGAGTGCTACTTTTGGCCTTTGAGGCCATTATTGCTAAAAATTTATTTCCACGACAGACCGCGAATAGTAGAAACCGCGGAAGTCGAAATAGTTGTGTGGGGGTCAGAGGTCACTATACAAGCAATAAATAAAACTTTGTTGAAAAAAAAAAAAAATAAATAAAAAAAATAAATAAATACTTACCGCATTTTGAGTAATTGAAATGCGTCAATGTCAGACAGGATTTGGTTACAAAAGCGATGCTAACTGGATTGCTATCTCGATCAAATCTCCGACTAGTCGACACCAGCGAGACGGAGTAACGTTCGGAAAAGGCAAGATTTCTTAAAATGTATTCCGGCTCTGGGCAAACCTGTAATGAAAGCAAACTAAAGTTAATCGATTCTGTCATCCTAGGTATTTTCACGGACTTATAGAGTTTAAAAAAAAGTGATGACGGCGGAAGAACGTTTACTCATAATACAGTATGATAGCCCGAACAAACAAAAATTACAAGGGTAGATAAAAAAAAGTAATGTTGACAAATTTAGTTTCAAAAGCATAGTTAGAATGCCAGTCTGTTTTCTTTAATTGTTTTAATTATAACCTATAATATCTAGAATCCTAGATATATTCTCTATTTTCTAACCATAATCTTTCAATGCACATGGACACACAAAAAGGAA